AAGCCAGGTAAATAAAGATTGTTCATTAGGATCTCAATACCACAAGCCAGGTAAATAAAGATTGTTCATTAGGATCTCAATACCACAAGCCAGGTAAATAAAGATTGTTCATTAGGATCTCAATACCACAAGCCAGGTAAATAAAGATTGTTCATTAGGATCTCATCAGAAAACATTTTATGGTATAGCATAACATTGCTGTTATACTTTCCACGTTTTAATTAGATTTTCACAAGCCGTGCATGAAATAATTTTGCCGATTCCTGTTGGCTTATTTAAAATAACAAGTGTAATAATAAATGTTATAAAGACAAGTAGGGATTGATATATACATAACCTAGCTAGCTTTTGTAATAGTTTTAATGCTACAAAGGTATTGAAATAAGAAAGTCAAAAATACAAAAGTTAACATACTTAAAATGTAACAAAATTTATCCCTACTCTGGCTCAGACTAACATAATTACAGTGATTTGCCAAAGTAGGGATAAAAAGTTTAAGTAACTCAGTTATTTGAGTTTTGACTTTCCTATTTCAACACTTTTTGTAGCATTAAAACTTTCTATCTTGTTATATCTAGCTAGGTTATGTATATATCAACCCCTACTTGTCTTTATCCCTACTTGTTTGTTTCCTATTCATTAGCTATATTTCTGTGCACCAGCAATACCAACCATAGGACTCACGTATACCTGATTCAATTTTATTACTCAGGATCTCTACCAACCTACCTACAAATCTAATAAAATGCCCAAAGTTGCACATTGTCTGTTATACTAGTATCCTTTTCGGTACAAGAAAGGAAACGTTGGGAACCCAGATGGAAGAGTTATATAAAACAATTAGAGTGATAAGGTTTGCCATTTTTTCCGTACGCTTGTCTGGAAAAGTCACTTACTTATCTACTTAGAGGAAAATTCGTTGAAATAGTGAGATCCTGATTCACTCCATAAACATTTATATAGTGATTTTGGCAGCTTTATAATTGCAGTAAGGTTTAGTTTTGTTCAACCAATACTGTGAAATAGTCATTGTTAATATTCAGACATTTTAAAGGTGGTTTTAAACAAGTGATTTTTATGGCCACCATTTTGATTCGTCACGATTTCTACTATTAAATACTACCTATTGTACTTAATGATTCTAAATAAAGTTTCAACTCATGTTTTGGTGTACATTTGAAATTTGTGGAAAAACTAGTATAAATTTTTGAAAACTTTGAAGGATTTTCAATGTTTCAAGTTGTTTAAATTTAGACTAGTTTTTATTATTGTATCGTTTCCCTTAAACTGAGCAATTTCCCAAAACTTCCTCTGTAAAACCTGCACTGTATTTCTGTTCTATAAACCATGCTAAAATACTGATTTTTTTAACAATAACATGCTATTTGTGTTTAACCATAAAGTTTATCAATACTAGTGTGGTAGATTCTCAGTAGTAGCTAGTGAGTAAGCCATCAGCTAGGTTGATAACAGCATCAGTTTTTCATCATGTCTTTGAATGAGCAATAAAAGTTTGTGAAGGGAACGTTAGGAAAAAGTTGGTGCCCAACAAAAAATACCTTTGAAGATGAGTTTTTTGGAGTCTAGGATGAATCTTCTTGTTGAGTGTGATGTCAGAGTAATATGTATAATTAAAACCCAGCAGACAGTAAATCAGAGTACAATTTTTTTTCCTCCTTATTGCCAGGTGGTCAGGGCACTTAACTCGCAATCTGAGGGTTGCTGGTTCGAATCACCATCTCGCCAAACATGCTCGCCCTTTCAGCCATGGGGACATTATAATATGATGGTCAATCCCACTATTTGTTGGTTAAAGAGTAGCCCAAGACTTGGTGGTGATGGCTAGCTGCCTTCCCTCTAGTCTTACACTGCCAAATTAGGGACGGCTAGTGCAGATAGCCCTCGTGTAGTATTGTTCGAAATCCATAACAAACAAACAAATCTACACAGCGTGCTAGAATTTTATCTTCCCTCATTATCCAGAGCGTTTTGAGGTAGTGCCTTGTTGGTAGGTGTGTATGGTGTCAGAAACAACATCACGAATCGATTACAACTACCTGCTTAACCTGATTAACACAAAAACTGAAACTAGGGACGGTTAGTGCAGATAGTCCTCATGTAACTTTGCACAAAATTAAAACCAAACCATTCTTCTCATATGTAGTGTAAGAATTGGCTTACCATACAGTTTTATAAAGGTGAAAGGGTTCTTTATTTTCTCTCGAGGACCTTGCTGCAAGTATGAATACCCAGAAAAATATGAAGTTGAATCATATATTTGTTGTTTCCAACGTTTCATTCAGAATTTACTATACATATATGTGTCATGAAATAATTTAATCGACTGACTTTTATTTCAGACGCCACATGGACAAACAAGTCTGTTGGACCTAAAGAAGTACCCAGATCATATCTCTGCTGGTGGAGGTTTTGGACCAGTAAGTTTATAAATACTTAGTCTGGTGATGTTGTAACAAAGTACTCATAATCTTGCCGTTGTATAAATGTGTGGATCAGTGGAAAGTTACACAGTTAGTTGTTTTTTTTTAATCACCATGTTTCTGTCAAAGTAGTATTGCTTTGGAGGTAATTTTTTCCAGTAATGATTTTTTTTTATTACATGTGACAAAACCTTTTGAAATGGGAGGCAGTTGCATGAATAATTAGTAAAATTTAACACAAACCATGTGTTGATTTATTTGTAGGGACCACTTTTTGTTAGTGAGTAGAAAAGAATTACAAATAACACAGATTTATCTCTGTTTACCACACATTTGAACCTCATTCTAAGTAAGATGAAACATTAATTTATGTTTATGAGTAAGCTGTGTGGTTATGAATAACTAGCATAAAGTGAAGTTGTCAAAGGGAGAAACTCGGGATTTATTAAATGTGAAATGTAAAGCTTGAGTATATGTTTTGTTTTACAATTTTCTTACAGCTGTTAGTCTAAGAGAATTCTGTAAAGAAAAAAAAAACAGGACTTGTTTGTGATGTTTCACATGGATTTGATCCAATTTCCTAAGTTAATGTGCTATTTTTACTTTATGTTTATATATAAACTATTTTATTGCATGCTTTGTTTTGCAATCGTTTTACAGTCGTTAATCTGACTAAGTGAATTCTGATAAAAAAAAAATAATTTATTTGTTATGTTTCAGGCGTATTTTATTTACTCTATGTTTTTACTGTAACGTTTCTGTGTAAATTGTTATATCACATCTTTTGTTTTGCAATCGTTTTACAGTTGTTAATCTGACTAAGTGAATTCTGATAAAAAAAAAATTATTTGTTATATCACATCTTTTGTTTTGCAATCTTTTTATAGTTGTTAGTCCAACTAACAGTATTTTATAAAAAAAATAACTTGTTTGTAATTATTCATATTTATTATTTGGTCTAATGTTCTAAATTAATATGTTGATTCTGTCATTCCATACATCAACATAAGATTTTAGAATACACAGTAATCTCGTATCTACTCATATAAAGTTCTTTGTGGACAACTAACTACCTGTTCAATTCTTTATTCAATTTGTTAATGATAGAATATATTTGTCATTTTTAATCTTCTCTTTATCATCAGATTTTGAAAACCAAATTAATGTTAATTCTTTAACCCAGGTTGCAGACGATGGATATGGTGTTTCCTACATCATTGCAGGGGAGAATTTAATATTTTTCCATATTTCCAGCAAACGATCTTCTCCAGAAACAGTAAGAACTATTTTAACAGTTGTTTCACCAATTTCTTCTATAACAGTTTATTATTATTTGATTTACAGACACTTTAATTTTTATTAATTTTAACCTGTTTGTCTTTACACTATAGTGTAATACTAGCAAAACACCACTTACCAGTGTTAACTGTAGTGTAATACTAGCGAAACACCACTTACCAGTGTTAACTGTAGTGTAATACTAGCGAAACACCACTTACCAGTGTTAACTGTAGTGTAATACTAGCGAAACACCACTTACCAGTGTTAACTGTAGTATAATACTAGCGAAACACCACTTACCAGTGTTAACTGTAGTATAATACTAGCGAAACACCACTTACCAGTGTTAACTGTAGTGTAATACTGAAACACCACTTACCAGTGTTAGCTATAGTATAATACTAAGGAAACAATTCACTAATTAGTGTTCATCAGCGTGGCTTATTCTGTAACACATTACATGCTATGCTGGTTACCAGCATGAAATACTTATGACCCCCACTCCGTGATTTTAATGTTTTTTATAACTTAAGAACTTGTTTTAACCCTACCACTACAGCCTTGGTATAAAATACACGAGTTCATATACGTACATAGTATTTATACTACAACTTTTAATGCAGTATATGTACATACACTAAGTTTGGTAGGCTCATAGTAAACATTACAAGTGTTTTTACTAAAAATTTGTTTGTGAATATATTGAGTTTCTTTCATTACTAGTCCAAGTGTAAAGTGATTTTCATGTTGTAATTAAAAAATACTATGCTTTGTCCTTAAAATTTCAAATATCATTTGTGTAATCTCTAAAACTTCTTAAATACATTTCAAACGTTTTTTTTAGTAAAACTTTATATTTTATCTGTTATTTTCTCTACTTTAATTTTATACGGGGTTGGTAAATTTGACCAAACTTCATAAACATCAAAATAAATCCAAATTACCTTTTTTTTTCTCTCTAGAATGACTTCAAATTGTAACATGAAACTGCATTCGTTTATCCTAAGTATATTTAAACTCTTAACAGTATACATCTATTTATACTTAAATGTTATTCTTTTATTGCTCTGTGATTGCCTTTGAACAGCTAACACAGATAAACATCGATTTTTGTGTGTCACATGGTATGTTGAATCCAGCACTGGTTCAAATTAGATGTTTGTGAAGTCAAAATACTAAGTCTCTAGTTTCGTACGAATTAGAAACTCAAATTATAGATATTGATAAGCTAGAATATAACATAAGAATGTCTTATCTTTTCTATTTGCTAAGATATTGCTCATGTAATAAATCAAACACAGTGGCACCCCACCCACCCCTTATATACACTTACTTCTATATATGACATGAATAACCAATTGGAAGCTCAGAATGTCCCCCTAGTGGTTTTCTCAGCCTTTCTAATGTGGCTAGCACCAATTCTTTCTTTTGAACCAATATTTCAATGAGGTAGATTGTGTCTTTAGTCTGCTTGAAATTTCATGTTTTTTATAGAGTAAAATACATTTTAGTTACTAAGTTTGATAAATTATGATTAAAT